AAAAAAAAAAAGAAATTCTTTAAACAATTCAAGAGAAGATTGAATGCATTTTAAACATGCTGAGCACTGCCGCTTACAGGTCAATGACCGCACTTACTCTGCTCCGTAGGGCTACGCACAGCCTCCACTGGATGGTCAGTGGAGGCTTGGGGGTCTGTCACACTTAATTGGTTTCCACAGGAGTTTCAGGATCAAGGCCAACTAAGAAAACAGGTGTGATTTCTTCTGATAAATCAGTCACTGAGACCCCTGTGGATCACAAGGGTCTGACCCTGCTGGGCACGGGGCTGCTAGGATCTGGGAGTCCGCTGACGGACATGACTCCTACTACTATCTCAGGTCTTTTCAAAGGCTCTCATTCTACTAATACATTCACAGAGTAGCACTTTTTCCAACCAGAACATAGTGAGAAACGTTAAACTTCTTGGGAGTTTTATTCTGAAAATTCACCTTTAAGGATAGAAGGAAACATGCTCTAAAAAACCTTAATCTCTAGCAAACATGCTTTTTTTTTTTTACTAATAACAATTCTTTTCATTAAACATCTAAGTAATAACCCGTAAGAAGTACTTAGAATATCATAAATGTATACTTGTAACTCTTACCACAAAGGATCTAAAGAAGCGTGACTTGCCCATTAAGTGCCATTTCAAGAAAAACATTAAAAATAAAGATCCCACTTTAGTTACCTGAGCACACAGGGAACTGTAGAGTGTGAGTGAGGAGATCTGAGATCCACGTAAAAACACAGGGGGTGCTAATGATAACCGTCCGATTACCTGCATGAACTGGCATCTCCATATTCTCTTTTTCGGCCACAGGACTGTCTCTCGTGGAGAGTTTGCTATCTCTTGACACAGGCACAGGAGCAGACCTTCGAGGGGCTGGTGTCTCCAAAGGTGACCTCTGCTTCTCAAAACCAATGGCTTCAACTTCTTTTGAAGGCACTTTAATGGGAAATAAAATAGCATATTTAACTTACTTTTAAAAAATGTTGAGTGTAACTCCTCCCATTCTTTAAAAATTAAATCCAATTTACACAGAATACAAAAATCATGAAGAGTCAATAGAAAAAATTCATGCTCACTAAAAATCAAAAGAACTATAGACTCTAAGAATATTTCACACTTAGGGCTAATAAATAATAAATCACTACGATATAAGAAATGATAAGTCCATCTACCAATAAGTATAAGAAAAGCCTTCAGGTGTTTTTTATGATTACTTTGACCTAGTAATCTATTCTAGAAAAAAAATAAAATAACCTAACAAGAAGGAAAACAATAAATAGGAGATGACATTCATTACAGCATTATTTACAAAGGAAAAAAACTTTAAAATGGCCACGTTAGTATCTAATAACAGGACAACGATGAGGCAAATTGTGAAATAATTATTTACGACATTTTAGTCATTAACATTATGACAACTAAGTAAAACATTTAAAAACAACAACAAACTATAGCCATCAAGTTGATTCTGACTCATGGTGACCCTACATGAGGTTTCAAAGTCTGTAAATCACTATGGGAGGAACCAGCCTCATCTCCCCCCCAGGGAACAGAGGTGGATTTCAGAGCACTCAGAGTGAACAGCCTAACACCTAACCCACAGCATCACCAGACCTCCTTA